CTCTACTCTACTCTACTCTACTCTACTCTACTCTACTCTACTCTACTCTACTCTATTAAGAGTTGGCCTCAGCTAGTTGTCCCACAGTGAGTTTACTGGGGCAAGATGGCTGTGGCAAGTTGCCCTAAATCTCTCTAGTCAACATTTTTAGATAATATGTCCTCCGATGCAACTAACTCTAGGCAACTTATGTACATGACTTCAGCAATTGAGTTTTAAGGTGACTCAGGTTTTGTCATTTGTACATTTTGGGATGCCTTACTGATGATGTGGGTGTTGGTACAGTTTGGCATTGCATCTGCTTTCATTTGGCCATTTCATCATGCTGATCTCTTCTCTCTGATCACTGGATAATGCCTTCTGTGGCTATTTTGGGTTGGCCTGCAAGGGAGGTACGGAATCTGTCTTTTGTAGGGGCCTTACCCAGAATCTCTACATATAACATTGAGAAGTTCATTTTTAATGTGTACCAATGTGTTCACAGGAAAAAAAGTGACAGTAAAGGCTACCTTATCTTATAACATAGGTTTTTTTTCAAACTTGGAAAATTTAAGATCTGTGGACTTCAACTCCCAGAATTCTGCAGCATAGAATAATATTATTCTGGAACACTGTGAACACATGTTAGTGATCAGACCAGTTTATCTGATGTTTTTATTTTGCATCTTATTGTACATGTTCTTATTCAAATTGTATTTTTACTATGCTTTACTGTAATATACCCTGAGAGCTTCAGCTACTGGGTGGTTTTAAAATAAAAAAAAAAAAAACATTTTCCTGCTGACTTGAGTACTGGAGGCATATTCAATAATGTGGTTATGACAAAGAGCCCACAATGAAGACTGGAAATGCTAATCAAGAGCTATAATGGTTATAGTCTGACTGACTGATTTTGGTTTCATTTTTAGATGAGCAAAATGTCTTTGATTAATAAATTGTAGCCATTAACTGATTAATTATTGTAATCCGAGCTTTTCTCTCTTTTTCTCAATTTCACTGATACTTTCACTTTTACCAACACCTAGACTCCTATGTTTAATAGTCTTAACAATTCTGTGTACATGCAAGGTTCTTTTTCTCATAATGGGGAAGTTACAGCTACTTTCTTTTCCCCTTTGATACAATAGCTTCTTTCTCTCTCTCCCTCCTCTACTCCCCCCTCCCCCCAATCATGTACACTTTTACTGCAGAGGTGACAAAGTGAGCTTAGGGAATCCAGGCAAATGTTTTTTATTTTATTTTGAAAGACATTTTAAAAATGGTTGATGATTCTGTGCAGTTTAATAAGTTACATCCCAATTATGAAGACTGTGAAAATGCTAAGAGCAAAAATTTTACCAAGTAACATAAGGTAGGAAACTTCAAAACAGTTCCTATTAGAACTATTACATATCTCCTTTTTGGAAAATAATAGGAAATAGTCAGATTTCAGTCTTGCAAAACAAAGCCACAGGAGATAATAACATTATTGCTCAGTATTCTTCATTAGTTAATTTATCCAGGTTCTTTGTATGCAAAACTATTTTATCTTGAAGGAAAGGAAAAGAACCATCTTTCTTAGTTATAAAAATTTCCTGAGGTGATTCTCACTCACCGCAGGGAATATGATGAGCTGTTATAAGCTTTTTGTGTTCTTTATCTGATACTGCTAAGACATTTCAATTCTTGCTCTATTTGTTGTTAAGATAATTGTGTAAATGGTTTGTTCTCTTGCCAGCTTCATGGTTATGTGGACCACAAGCCCTTGGGCCTTCAGATCTTCATTGGAACGGCAGATGAGAGGATTCTTAAACCACATGCTTTTTACCAAGTCCATCGCATCACAGGGAAAACAGTCACCACCACCAGCTTTGAGAAAATCATTGGCAACACCAAAGTGCTGGAAATTCCTCTGGAGCCAAAAAACAACATGAAAGCAACGTAAGGTTCAATATTGTAAGATAGCAACAGAGGAGAACTTAATACGCTTAATGTAAAAGATGCCTGTATTTCATTTGTAGAGAAAACTCTCAAGAGTAAGCTTTACTAAGGCATATACTGTAGTTCAGTAGTAGAATAATTCAAGTGAGTGCAGAATGGGTCCTCTTCAATCCCTTAACAGAGGTCATCTGTTAGGAGAACAATCAATTTCTACTGGAGATCTTGTTAGCAGAATAGACTAATAAGTCACCAGCTTTGTCAATTTTTCTGGAAACTTCTATTTCTCAAGGCCCGTAACTAGAGAGTCTTTTAGTGCAAATCCCTGATCATTAGATGATCTGATTTCTGCACCAGGAGAGCTTTCTGATTTGCCAGTCCTTGAGAGAAGAGGACATTTCAATTAATCAGCCTCTTCCCTACATGAATTAGGATTTGAATTGACTTCTTTCCCTCTTAGATTTTGAACTGAGATCATATGGTCTAGTGTCTTATATTGAGCTTTCATGTTTGGATGGATGGATGGAAGCAACCATATAGCTATATTAATGCCACTTGCTCAAGTCATTGCAAATGTGGAGAATATATGTAGCTCAGGGTTGAACTGTAGCTTCTTGTTGGTCTAGAAACAAAATGCCTATAGTAAGAAAACTAAAATTCTGAAAATATCAAAACTCCAGTGGATCATTGTTCCCGGAGGGACAATGACACTGATAAGAAAGATATTGTCAGCTGCTTAAGACTGCAATATATTCCATGGAATAATGGAGACTTTAGATTTAGAAATGTTGTATCAGCCAGCACTATCGTAGTGGTCCATTGGTATCAGCTGATTTCCAGATTAGGAGCAGAGAAAGTATTTCACAGATAAACCAGCTGGAATTACTTGCACTTTTTCTTTGGAACCCTTCTTTGATTGACAGGGTTATAAGATAACAGAGGTAAGTTTAAATCCATACTCTTGCAGAGGTACAGTAGTCCATTTTCCCTCAGGGAAGATAGAGAATCAGCCAGCCTCTTGTTGAGATTCCATAGAAAGGAGCTAAGCATACCTGAACCATTAAATCTGTAGTCATAATCAGAGAAACAAAAACAGACATTAATTTCAGGAGTGAGGAGTATTAAATTTCCAAATGCAATTGGGGATGAAAGTAATGATGTCACTGGACAAGGATTATTCAGTTATTTGTTTGTTTCACAGCATTGACTGCGCAGGAATCCTCAAGCTGAGGAATGCAGACATTGAATTACGGAAAGGAGAAACAGATATTGGCCGAAAGAACACTCGTGTACGATTGGTGTTCCGCGTGCATATCCCTGAATCTAGTGGCCGGATAGTTTCGTTGCAAGTTGCATCCAACCCCATTGAATGCTGTAAGTCATAATTTTCTGATAATTTTATTATTTTTCTGTAACTTTGTTTCTGAAACCCATAACTTTACAACAGAGGTCCCCAATCCCCAGACTGCAGCCTGGCACTGATGCGCAACCTGCTAAGAACTGGACCATGCAAGTCCCATCCAAAGCCCCATCCGTGCATGCATGGGATCCAAGGCAGCACGTGAAACCATACCTCCCCCTGCCCAGTCCATGGAAAAACTACCCTTCACAGAACCAGTTCCTGGTGCCCAAAAGATTGTGGGCCACTGTTTTACAGGACTGAAATACAGGCAGTCCAGGATTAAGACCATCTGACTTAGGGATAACTCATAAATGCAAACAGGCTACCTATTATTAAAAATGGCAGATTGCTTTCTTCTTTCTTTAGTCAATGAAGCATTGAAAGGCATACAATGTTTACAGGAATTGCTGATGATCACTGAAAGTAGTCTGTATTTTAAAAATGTGCAGTTTCAATGGTTCCTGAAAGCATTGCATAGCTTCAGCACTTTGTCTGTTCGAGGAGAGAATACTATCTACTACCTTTAGTCAGGGGTGGGATTCAAATTTTTAATAACTGGTTCTGTGGGCGTGGCTTAGGTGGTGGGTGTGGCTTGGTGGTCATGTTATTGTCTGGGTGTGGCCAACTCAATATCACTCACATTGAGGCACACATCTCCTCGCCTGGCCTCTCATGACTGTGCAACAGTCGTAAGTGTGAGAAATGGTCATAAGTCAGTTTTTTCAGTGCCATTGTAACTCTGAATGGTCACTCCACACAAGCAAAGTACCAGCAAAGGAGTGGGAAAAAACTCCAGAGACGTTCCTGAGACAGGAAGTCTAGTCCTGCCAAGAATGTAATAAGGGTTAATGGAGAGGCAGTTTCTATAAGCAACACCAGAATGTTTCCTTCCTGCTTTCCTTACAGGATTAGGCCAGTAATTTCTTCTAACAAACGGTTCTCTGAACTGCTTAGAATGTTAACAACCAGTTCTAGCGAATAGGTGCGAACTGGTAGAATCCCACCCCTGCCTTTACTAACAGGCAGTCCATTTGTAAGTACAAGATCTGACTTAAATACAAAGTTGGGTTAAAGACAGAGTTAGGGAATACAACTTGTTCTTAATTCAGTGACCGCCTTGAAATCTGGAAAAATTGCTAAGCTCCTGCCAAAGGCAAACGTCACCCTCTTTACTTCCTGTCTTTTGATTCTTAATTAACCAATGTAAGGTCTTGGTCTTTGATCCTGTGCTATGCATCCTTATTTATCTGGGACTGTCTTATGAACTTGAAGATAAACTTCGTATTGCACCATTAACAGAGAGATGTTGCAAACGCACTGATTTATAAAAGAATGCCCAAATGTAGCAGCATTCTTCCAGAATAGATGGCTCAGTATGATTTTGTCCATATGCCTCTAAGATTTCATGATGCTAAAAAAAAAAAGGGGGGGGGAGTTTTCTAATTCTCACTGTGAATGCAGCAATCCAAGAGACTTTAGGATAAGCCATAATTCAAGAGGAAAAAAATGGGGTGGGAGTTGGGAAGAGGAATTTCCACTAAATAAGTACTATATAAACAATACAGGAAGTATATTGTACTCTCCCATCATGTTTTCCATAGGGCTTTCTGGCAGGTGAGCCTCCTCTTAAATATGCCAGTTTATCTTCCCTTGAGATAGGAGGATGATAAAAACATTTACAGATCCTCAATGTTTGATGAGTCGAGACTTGTGGCATAGCCTCATTCTAGCACCTCAAAGGAGGCTTAGTCATTTTTGGAGAACTTACCCTTGTGACCATCTTTTCTCATCCTGTAGTGTATTTTTTTTAGTAACTTGAGCTTTCTCAGTGGTTCGGGGATTTCATAGTTCTAACGAATCATTTTTACATCTTTTGTTGTATGACTGATATTAGTGTACAATACACTACATATTAATGTAACAATAAACCACCTGAGAAAGGAGGCTTTGAAAGATCTACTCTGTGGTTTTTGATCACAGCAAAATGCTTTCCCTAAGACACATTTGTATTGGAGTTGAACCCTGCTAAAATGGTGTTAGGTTTGCAACTGAATCATCTGGAAAAGTTTTATTATCAATTGTTTGGGTTTGCTTTTCTTGGATGAGGACAAAGTCCATATACTTCCGTGTTCTATTTCTCTTGCATCCTGATAAGTCGATCTATAAGTGTGTTGGTGGCAGTGTATTACTGCTTATGGTTTTCACATGGTATCAAAGTTGGATTCCTCCTTTCCAATGAGATTTCCTTTAGTTAATCTACCTGCTGATTGTAAGTTGTATCAAGAATTTAACAATTTCTTACAACACACACATACCACATATACCCTAACTTACAAACTTGGACCCATTTGGGCAATTCTTGAACTCCTAGTTTAATATTATCAGCATACATCTTGGTGCTTTGCCTGACATGCTTTTTTAAAAAATTATTTATATTTATTAAGAATTTCACATAAAGTAGGGAAAGAAAGAGGAAAGATTATAAAAGACGATTTCCCACCTTCTCTTCACCAGATAACCCATATTAAAATTGTTCACCAAATGTGTACATTTTCTCCTTACTCTTAGTATTGATGATGTTTTGTAGTTATAGCATTGCTGTAAGTGGATTTAATGAACAGCAAGCTGGCTAGAGATGAATGGCAGACCCCATTAAAATAGTTTATCAGAACTGCCATTCCATATAGTTGATGTATGGGGATGGGGAGTCGTGTGAGCATGATTGTAAAGTCAAAAACCATTTATTAGCCCTGGAACTGAAAAAGAGGTAGAGGTCTCCAACTTCCCATATCAGTATGTAAGGGTTTATAGAGTTGTACCTTTATAAACAGGAATTCTCATTACTAGCAAACCACTCAGGGACTGGAGTTGTGGACGTCAATCCCAGGAGAAAACTCACTGAAATAGCAGTGTTATTAGTTAGCTCATCGGTTGCTCCCACTAACTAGTCCCTTGAGTTGATGGTTGCTAACCGTAAGGCATTTAAAAGCTCCAAGGAGGTCAGCAGCTGCAGAGAAATAAGAATTGCCTTGAGTAGATATGTCATATTCCCCATCATGGGTTTTGAGAGATGTGCTCCTTCATAATTGAAAGGGTGAGGAGTATAAAAAGTGGGGTGATTATAAAGTAAAGTACTAAGACACTGCTTGTATGGGAAGCAAAAAGTAAATACTCTCTTGATCTGAGATCAACTTGTAGCAGTTACATGGAAATAACCACGTTCAACCTCATAGCAATAGCAATAGCACTTAGGCTTATATACCACTTTACAGTGCTTTACAGCTCTCTCTAGGCAGTTTACAGAATCAGCAATCTGACTCCTCATTTTTCTGACTTTGGAAGGATGGAAGACTGAGTCAACCTTAGCTTGGTGAGATTCGAACTTTCAAATTACAGGCAGCTAGCACTTGGCAGAAGTAGCCTGCAGTACTGCATTCTAACCACTGCACCACTGTAGCTCGTAGGTCTCATAGTCTCAGTATGGAATTTGTTTGGTCTTGCCATGTTCTGTGCACTTTTTCCAACTTCCCACTCTAGTTCCTTGGCCTATCAATCAAGTTTTGTCCAAATTAGGTTTTGCTTAGCATTTTGTTTTTAAAATCAGATGGTGTTGATTTAACTCAGATGGGGCAGGTCTACCTGCGGCTGGATATTTGTGATGAATTATGTCTCCAAAGGAATTTCTTTGTGTAAGAAATCTGGTGGCAATATGGAGTGAAAGAAATCATTTTTCCTTGAATAGATGAAAGATAAGATGCAATGTTTGAACAAGATGGAAGCATTGGCATGTTCACAGAACTCAATGATTTGTAGAGAGTAAAGATGATGACCCTTGATGAAAAGGGAGATGATTTGTTGCTGAAGCAACAAGGGAAACATTGCTTGAGTCGAACAATGAGGGAGGATTACAAAAACATCTCAGACACTCCGAAGAAAGTCTTTAGTCTGAAACCCTGGAAAGCTGCTATCAATTAGGGTAAACCAGAACTGCCTAATTTCTACTGAGGACCACACCTGAATTTTTGAATGACATGCTGGGACTCAGTATCTGGTAATCACGATGGGAAGGGAAAGGTGCATTTAATAACCCTGTGGTCTGAACTAGCAAGACTTTTAGGTCTTATCTTTTCCTTGTGCAGATATTCGGTACTATAAATATTATCAGAGCAAAGTTACCGTTTTCTATTCCTCTCTCAAGATTTACTAGATTAATGTTGACATCCCTCTATTTACTTTCAAAGGCATTTCTTAATTTGGATGAAATTGGATTAAATCACTTCTTTTGAAACAAGCTCCTTGGAAGTTTTCCTTTTTAATATTTTTTTTCCCTCTTCTCCAAGTTTTCCATAAAATTGAGATAGCCTACATTTATGATATGTGGCACATTTGCAAGGGCAGTGGAAAGAATGTTTTCATCTTGGCAAACCTTCTGCGGCTTTCCTGCAACAAAGAAAGCCAACTGGGAGATTGGCAACAGAAGTCTAGTTAAAGAGCAACAACGAACTATTCTGAGGATTCTTAGGCGATTCATCAGCCTGCTTCTTTTCAGGCAGGGCATTCCGAGGGCTGTCCATTTTCATTAACTTTGCTCAAAACCAATGTCCTTCCTTCCTTCCCTCCCTCCCTCCTTCCTCAAATTACAATCATGTTATTTCAATAACTCTTCCATTAAGCTTCTCAAGCAAGTTTAGGTGCATTGTTTAATATGAAAATCTTAGTATGAAAATCAATAGTATAGATGCAAATGGAAATATTTTCCATAAATGAATGTTGTTTGCATAGGAGGAAAATTGTTGTAGCAGGAAGAGAAATACATTGTTATTCTAGGAAAAAAATATGGATAGATGAGTAAAGTGCAGAAGTGTAATAATTCAACTCCTTTGAGATCTATTTATGGAACATATTTACATAATAAATGTTTTTTATTCACACAATATTGGTAGTAAGTGAAAAATGTTTTAAAAATTGGTAG